CCAAAGTCTGTATTTTCAACAAAAATCCTCAGGTGATTCTGTGTATATACATGTGTTGCATAACATCTGTTCAGGAATGTCCAGCCACATATCTCTGATCCCTTAAGATTATAACAGTTCAGAAATCTTGATCAAAGAATGAGACCTAGTGTCCCACATACTACATGCGTTTATGTTAGATCTCTTGTATATGTGTATGCCATGCGTGTAATGATACAGTACATAAACTCTGTAATACGTTATTGTATTGGTAGTTGTCCATTGCCATCAGGTCAGAACCGACTCATGGCTGACCTGTTACTGGTTTTCAGAGGCTATAAATTACACAAGATTTTCTCATCTTTCTCCTGTGGAGCGGCCATTGGATTCAAATTGTCCACCTTTAGGTTGGAAGGTCAACTCCTTACCCAGTAGGCCACAATAAATGACTGTTATTGGTTTGTGTGTATACTGTACTTAGTATCTAAAAAGTTTATTACATAACAGTGTGTACTTAGTCTATGTACAGCAGCATCCAGTCTTACATGCTAGTCTCTGCTTAATTTTCTTTTTAAAACATTACTGTTTTTAAACAGTAATCACGTTTTAAAGCCAGTATCAATGGCTCCCAAACACAGTAAAATTAGTGCCAGTGATAGCAGCTTCAAGTGGCAAAGAAGCATATATGGGAGTGAAATAGAATGTTATTAAACAACATGGAGACGGGCATTGATGAATGCTGTTGGTTGTAGTTTAGGTATATCACGCTTAACAGTCATGACAGTCTTAAAAATCAAACAGTTCTCCAAGCTGGTAAAAGGTCAGCTGTACTGAAAGCTACAAAGCTAACACAAATGTGAGCAGGCCTTAGATACAGAGAAATTGCTGATGATGTGGATTTAGGATTTCTCAGCACTTTAACAGTTACTGATAAAGCATGAAGCTTGTTCAAGATGCTTTAAAAAAAATCAGGACCAGACAACAATATGATGTTCACACAGTGTCCAAGTCACATAATGTTCTGTTTCATAAAATGTACATGACTATACATAAGAATCACCAGGCAATCATGTTAAACATAGGTTCTGATTCTAGAGTGGAAAGGCATATTCGACCAGGAGGTCAAACTATAACAAATTGATTTGAAGCCCTGTTGAGGACGGAAGAATTGTGTGAACGAACACCTTAACCAGATCAGAAAGTGTCAAATTTGGGAAGTGAAGAAAATCAGTATGGTTATGCAGAACAGATGGTGTAAGCTATGGAAAAGATTTAAAACTTTAGAGACAATTCTAAGGACAACAGGGAATCATTGGATGGGAAGAAGTAGGAATATGTGATTAAGTTTGCATTTGGAAAAAATAGTTCTGCACTCAAGATTGGAAGACAGTTTATTCTCTCACTATGAACAGATCCTATCCTGCAAAACAGCATTAACTCTTAAGTTTTTGATCACTAAATATATTCCTTCTCCCAACTTTTTGTATAAAAAATATTCTTTGCCTTTCATGGTTATATAACTTATAAAATCCGTGGTATATCAAGTTTAGGGTGTAGAAAGTGAAGTTTAAAGAACCTAGGACATTGATTTCACTGCTGAAGTTAAGTTTTATTTCAGGGAAAAAAGATTAATAGTATCTCTTCTGTAAAAAAAATGCTGTAGTATCTTTCTTGATCCTTATATAAATAGGACTTTGTCACTTTGAGGTTTTGACCTAAAAACGCTTCAGCAAAGCAAGTTCGGGGGACTGATGTAACACTTGTATTGATTTTGATGCAGGATAGATTTTAAACACACTCATACAGAAATAAATATTTAAAAAAAAAAAAAGAAATATTGACCTACTTTCAGTATTAATTCATTAATAATGTTTGCTCGTCTGTAGGCTACTAGAGTAAGGTAATTCATTCAGATCTGGTTTCTCATTCTTCTTTTATGATTGTAGTCAGAGGCACAGGCAAGCTTGATTGGAGAAATGCCATTGAAGCTGGTGGTACTCTTAAGTTTGTTCCCTCCCTTTGCAAACAGAAAGTATTACAATTTTGTTAGGGTCTTCCAGGGTTACATGAAGGAGTTCTCAAGCTTTGAGAGAAAAGGGGGGGGGCTGTTTTCTTAATGCCTTTGCAACTTTTTAAATCAAGTCCTCATTCTCTTTTGTTGCTCAGTCTTTTACCTAACCCTGAATGATACACATTTATGTGCTTCATTGATTCACTTTACTTAATATCTGATAATAATAATTTGAAATACAGTATTCACACAGCTGCTTTACCACTGTTACCATTTTGAATTTGTGTAAAGCAGCAGTGTTAACAGTTCGAATACTTTTTTTGTATGACTGTTAATAGATGGGGAGCTGATCCTTACGGATCTCAGTGTCTCTCAGGGCCTGCAAAGACCTTACATGTATTACTGCTAGTAGTAAATAACTGTTAAATTAATAGCTGCTTTGTAATAGCCACTTGCAGCCTACCAGCACATCACCCTCAAAATTATCTCATCTGAAGTAACCACTTCTTATCTCATGACTCTTGGCCCACTTTTCATGAATTATGTGGGTTTAGAATAGGACCCAGTCGTCATTTATTCTGTCTAATGCCAGGCACTGTGTAAGTTGTTTATAGTGTATTGAAAGAGCTAGACAAACGAGCAGAAACAGTAGGAAGCCAAATTCTGGAGGTTAGTATGCTTGGCAACCTTTTCCAGTGTGAACATTACCAGACCAGTGCTAGACCAAGGTATTAAGCAACAGTCTTTTTCTAAGTTGCAAGTTGGAGAAGAAACCCCACAACTAAAATAAGACAATAATTCTGTTTTAAATGTTTTCCTCCATAAAATGTTTTGAAACACTTTCTTAAATCATTTTATACTTCTGGAAATACTAGAAATATAAACAAGTAGTTAGCTAAAAATTAATGGAGAAATTGAAAACTAACCATGTTTAACTTGAGGACTTTTTTAAAGTGGTCACTTGTGCTTAAACTTGGACACTTAAAACAGCCATCTATTTTCTGCTAGTTGATTTAAAATGAATCCTAGTTCATACAGCTGGATTAAATAGACTATGCAGTATTGTTTCCTAAAGGACATTGTGCCTCCTATTCAGATGCACTAGAAAATCACAACCTGACCCAGTTTCCTAGAGCCTTTTTACATTGGTCTTTTTTTCTGCAGCTAAACTCCAGGGAATGCTATTCCACGATCATAGTAGATATTATTTCACCCTGCAAAGGTTGATGGGTTCACTGAACACTGTACTGTGAAAATAAAAATATTCTCAACCTGACCTTTCTTCATCCTCTGACCCAAAATTAAATATGTCACCTTTTGTTCTTGTTTCGTAGTCAGAATCATTTGAGTGTTGTGAATGAGTTTCAAAGCTTCCTTGAAGAAATTAAAGCTGAATAAGATAGTGATTTATATATACAGAAACACATCTGTTTTAAGTTGGTATGAAAGAAGGCTTTGGGTAATGGTTGGTTTATTTTCCCTATAATAAGTAGCATTAGAGCGAAATTGTCTTTATTTTATAAATGTCTTCATTCATGTTATGAGCAGCAATTATGTAACAATGCTTATAGATTTCTCTAGAAAATACTCAGATTGTCTTGAATAGGCCAGGAAGTAGAGTATGATAATTTTAGAAACCTTTGTGATTCTCATCTGTTAATTTGACTGACTGACTATGAGTTCATTACACTTTACAGTTTCTCCAGCATGCATCTAGGAACCAGGTCAGTTTGCCCTTTCCTGTTTGCCTTTCAAAAAAGGTTCCTTGAACTTGCCCAGTGTGCCAGGTAGTGAGCTGGTCACTAGAGGTGAAGAAAATAGTTAGCACTTGCTTAGCAACTATCATATGCCAAAACTGTTCTAAACCTTTTACAGTAATTCATAAAAGCCTTAGAACAACTCTGTGAGAAAGGTAGTGTTATTTTTCCTTCTAATAAGGAAAACCAGGCACAGAGAGGTGGGAAAAGTGGGGATTGAAACCTGGGCAGCCCGGCTCAGCATTGCTCTCAGCCACTCTGTTTTCATCTCGTACTTCTAGCCCCGCCAACCTTTGTCATTTAAGAACCTTTAGTTGTACTCTGTGCCAGTTTCACTGTATATTTGCATGAGCATTTGGAGTTTTGTATTTGTGGCTGATTAAGGAGGTCTCTGACACGTAGAAGTTACATGCATGTTGAATGAATGAATGATAAGAGAGTTTTAGAAGTCATGTTAAGAGAGTTTGGACTCACTTTGATTATTCCTTCGCTTAGCTGTGCAGGATGAAAGCATAAAGCCTTCCCTGCTATATGGTCCAGTCAGTGACAGCCCCTGGGCTCTTGAGGCCACACTCACATCTTTTTTTTCCCAACAAATATTTATTGGATGATAAATAGCCAAGTATATAATCATATAATTACCTTTCTTTAAAATGTTTATTTTATACTGGTTTACTTACAAAGTTTGTATACTTTGTTTTTACACTAGATCTTTCCCATTTTCTTAACCCACCCCTCCACTCATCAAATTGTACGACCCTATGATTACTCCACCCCACCCATCTTCACCCCTCTGTCCCCCCCTTTAGATCCTCACACATATTTTTCTAGTTATCTATTTTACGATAATGGTCTTACATAGGATTGGTCCTTATGGAACTGAGTTCACTCCATTCCTATAGTGCAGGAGAGGAAGACCCCGGATGAGATGGATTGATACAGTAACTGGGGCAATGGGGGTTGGTGTATTGGAGTCAGTGAGATGGGCTCAGGACAGGGCAGACTTCAGAGCTGCTGTACATAGGGTCACTATGGGTTGTAGGCAACTTGACCACACATAACAACAGCAACATTGTGTATTGAGAGGAAAGGGACAGAACAGAGTGTTCCTCTTTTGCGTTGGTCACTAGTTGTGTCCCTAACAGGTGCCACACTCTCCTGTTCTGCTCTCCTCTTGTTGGTCCCTCATGATTTGTCCTCTTGTGTTACTCCCCAGTTGCACTGGCAGTACCACACACGCCTGCCTGCCTGCCATGGGCTGCCGGGATGTTCATGCCGCCACAGTCCTCTCCTTCCTGTGTGGAATTGCCTCAGTGGCAGGCCTCTTTGCGGGGACGCTGCTTCCCAACTGGAGGAAATTGAGACTGATCACGTTCAACAGAAATGAGAAGAACCTGACTGTTTACACAGGGCTGTGGGTGAAATGCGCCCGATATGACGGAAGCAGTGACTGCCTGATGTACGACACTACTTGGTATTCGTCGGTGGACCAGCTGGACCTTCGAGTTCTCCAGTTTGCCCTGCCCCTCAGCATCCTTATTGCCATGGGTGCCCTGCTGCTCTGCCTGATCGGAATGTGTAACACAGCCTTTAGGTCCTCGGTCCCCAACATCAAACTGGCCAAGTGTCTGGTCAATAGTGCAGGCTGTCACCTAGTGTCCGGGCTGCTGTTTTTCCTGGCAGGTACTGTGTGCCTCTCCCCGTCCATTTGGGTCATCTTTTATAACATGCATCTGAACAGGAAGTTCGAGCCAGTCTTTATGTTTGACTATGCAGTGTATGTCACTATTGCTAGTGCTGGGGGCCTGTACATGACTGCCTTTCTGCTGTTTATTTGGTATTGTGTATGCAAATCTTTGCCTTCTCCTTTCTGGCAGCCGCTGTATTCCCATCCTTCCAGTATGCATACTTACTCACAGCCCTATTCAGCACGCTCCCGCCTCTCTGCCATTGAAATTGACATTCCAGTAGTTTCACACACCACCTAATGGGAAAGGAGTTAATTGTTAAAACTTCTTTTGTAACTTCACATTCCCTTTGTGTACTACCCACTACAGGGAGGGTGTTTTTGGATCTGTGTACATTTTCTTTGTTCCTGACCAGTCAATGAAACCAAATGTGTGTGTCCTGGTAGAATGAAGTGCTGCTAGTTTTTATGAAAAGAGCATTATTTTAAATGTGAATCATTCCTTTTATCTTGCTTCTTACACTGGAAGGATTTTTAAGCTCCATGTTGTTGTTACATCAGTGGAAAAGACCTGTTTCTCCACTGAGATAATTTTGAGTAGCATGGTAAAATAAAAATGGCCAAGAGGAGTTGTATACAATCTTCATGAACATTTCAGAGATGTATATCCAGTTTTTTCTACCTAAAATGGGGGTAGGAACTGGGGAGTGGGGGGAAAGACTTATTTCAAATGTAAAACTAATTCTTTCAGGTAATGGTTATATTTTAACAGTAGTCTGACAGCTTTAAAAATGTTTAAAAATTATTTTCTCTGGACTAATTATATTGAATGAATAGTATTAGTATTTTGAATATGACTTTCGTAAGTTAACTTCTACCTCATGTCAGTGTTTAAGGAAAAAAAATGCATTTGAAATGATACTAGAGAGAATAAGCCTAACATTTCCAACTGTTTATTAGTTAATGCTTAATATTTAACAATTCTCAAGGTTGATGACTCTAGAAGTGTTATTAGAGTGAAAAGGTGTCACATAATGGATTGGCACGTCTCTAAAGCAGAAACTTTTCCTGATGTCATTCACAAAGTGACATGCATACCCATATATAATTTCTCAGTAGGTAAGAGACAAATAGAGAAGCCTTGGGGATTTGTTTTTTTTAAAGACATAGTGATAGTGTACTTGAGGCTAATCTTTGATGGTGATGATGACAAACAAGCAAAGGTAAAGTATGAGTTTTCAACAACTTATGCTTACACTGATTCGGTTGCTGCACCCATTTCAGATCTCTGCCCAACACTTGGGTAGGAGGTGTAAAGGATCCGAAAAAGGACTCCTGCTGGTATAGTATATTACCAGATGGCTCATGGTTTGAATCTACCAGCCTTCAAGAGAGAAAGATGAGGCATTCGTCTCTTGTAAAGATTTACAGCCTCAGAAACCTGGGAGAAAGCCACCATGAGTTGGAAATGATTGGGCTTATAGAGAATCCAAAGGAACACACCAAACCCACCAGTGTCTCTGCAGGAAAAATAGATCTGAGAGTCTGCTTTTGTAAAGACTACTGCCTACAAAACTTCTGCTCTATTCTGTAGGGTAACAATGAGTCAGAATTACGTTGATGACCTGTCATAAAGGGTCCCCCAAAATAATGAGATCTAGTCCCTTCTGCTAAGAAATTGTAATCTAATAGAGAAGACCAAGCCTGCTATTTTGGAAACAGCCTGACTTCTTTGGACAGCTAACCTAAATTTTTCAGTGATTGATTTAGTAATATATTTTAAGAAACACCTACCTTTCTGGCAGGCAGGCTTATCACACACCACCAGTAATCCTCTAAATTCTAAAAATTCTGCTTACTTCAATTCATAGAATCCTTAGAGGACCTGTGTTAGCTTAGTTCTGTAATAACACTATCGGACACATGAGAACATGCAAAAGTGGTAGAGAAAGCCTATTGTACCCTTTTCCATGTGATTTACTGAAGGGAGAAAAATTTTTAAAATTTTTATTCTAATGGGGTAACAAGATAAAACCATGTTAATACTACATTAAAAGCTTGGAAGTTATGGATGCTGGTCTTTCCCCTTGTGAACTGGAACTCTTTGGTGTAATTTGTTCTGTATAAACACTGTTTCATAAGAATTTTGTTCTGTTAACTACTACAGATTTTTTTTAAAAAGCTATTTGCATGGTAAAAGATTATTTGTGAGGGGGTTTTTGTTTTGTTTTTTAAAAAAATCTGAATGACTGTGGTCCTTATGTGAGTATTTGTAGTAAACACTATTATAATAATTCCAACTCTAATTTATGTACATAGCAAATAAGCCCAGTTGCATAATTTTAAAGTGCCATGAGTAAAAAGCATGCAAGAGTTATTGGGTGTTTTGTTTGTTTTTATGTTATAGCTTCTTATTCCTTCGGATTCTTCTCAGGTGTATGTTATTTAATTTTGATCATTCCAAAAGAGTGGCAGGTGGAATTTTGATATTAATTGTAATTTTCCCCCTTTGCTTATTAATTTCAGTCCCCTCTCTGAATTTTTGCCCAGAAGTGCCACAAATTCCACTACTCAATTGTTTATTGTATAAACAATGTTGAAGAAAAATAGATCCAGTCATTAAAGATACTGGAAAGTTTTTAGTCCATGGGATCATAAATATAAACATTAAGTTTTTCCTAAAAAAAAGTCTTTTGGCTTCAGAACGTGTAGCTCCAAATTAGTATTTATTATGAAATAGCTTGGCAAAGGAAACAGCTGTTTCCTTTGTCTTTTTCTTTACTGTTTTACAGTTGCTACCAATTGTTATTCTTCAAAGCCATCAAAGGAGAGCAAGTGTTTGTATTTCTTTTTAGACACTTTGGAGCACTTACCAGGTTATCATTGTGATGGAGAATAGCTTTGTGAAAGGCCTATTAACATTGAAGATCTTTTACAGAAGCCAGTTTGGAACACAATCTTAAGTAGAGTATGATGCAGCAGGTTTGTTTATCTAGCCATGGGGGAGAAAAAAGAAAGATCCCTAATTTTACTTTGCTTGTAAATATACAACATAATGGTTAATTTGTTTGCTGTAAACTGCAGTGTAAAACCTTGATAAAAAACTGTACTCTACTTGATGTTTATTAAAGATGTATTTTTATAATTTTCTGCTTCTGCCCTCATTTTCACCACAGCTTAAAAGTGACATGTTTTGAGAACTATTTTTCATTTGTATGTAAACCGAATCCACTTGAAGTCCTGTAGGATAAGAACTAGAATAACGAATTCAGGAAACACGAAGACACTCCCTACATTCCTAAGAGTGGATCGAAGAGTTTACACTACACAAAATGATGTCAGTGCAGTTGGATTTGCTTCATTAGTGAAGTTTTCTAATGGCCCTATGTGATCATGAAAATCAAGAATTGTCAAATGGTTAAATAGGAGGCCTCTCCCTCTTCAAAATTTGAAATCATTGAGAAGTTTGCACACAAAACAAGTTACCTCAAAGTGTCTGCAACCTGAAATTAATTTTTATATTTAGACTGAGTCTCCTGATGGTGGTTCTGATGTGTTCCCACTGAGACCCATGGATCTATGATAATGTGTTAGAAGAGCCACGTTGTTCTGGAAATCAGAGACTGCTGTAGACTTGGCATGTCGAGCTGATTACAAAAGCATTATGTTCCAGAAGGTGGCCCTCAGTTCTGGAGGTTTACTGAAAATGGCTTAATGCTAGAGGATCCCTAGCCAATTCACAAAAGATTTTCCAAAGAGAAGTAGAAATTATTTACAATCACCATATGATGTCTTTGAATTGTGGTATTGAAGAAGACTACTGAGTATCCATGGACTGCCAAAAGAAACGAACAGATAGGTCTTAGAGAAGGTACAGCCAGAATGCTCCTTGATCAAAGCTTCATCTCACATACTTTGGACTTGTTGCCAGGAGAGGCTTGGAAAGGTAGATAGTTGGTGAAAAAGAGGAAGATCTCCAACCAGATGAATTGACATTGCCTGAAGCAATGGGCTCGAGTATGTCAGAGATTGTGAGGATGGCACAAAATAGGGTTCAGATCTATTCTTAAGGTTACTATGAGTGAGTCATGCTCTGCTCAGTGGCACCCAACAACAGCAACATAATCCATGACTGATTTTTCAAGATATACTCCACGAGCTTCTTACAAAAAAAGCTGATTTCATGACTGGAGTTAAGAAAGAATGATCTCAGAACTTCTTACTCTGCCGAGGAGAGTGGAGAGATGCACAGCATGATGAAACCCTCAAGCCTCTAGCACTTTGACAAACGAGAAGACTGAAAATTCACCCACACCTGTGACTCAGCTTTCAGTCAGACCATAAGCCCAGAAGGTGGACAGTAACACCAGGGCACACACCTTAGAATGGCAGTAATGTCATGAAATTATAATCCCCATAACATACTTGTTTAATTGCTGAATGAAAATCCAATTTTTCTTCATAATTTTCACCCAGATCACAATTCTGTGTTATGTATCATCAAATCAGAACCAACTCCTAGCTGACCCTCCAGCAGATTTTCAGAGGCAGGAAATCACACAGAAGATTGCCCGGCTTTCTCTGGTAGAGCAGCGGGTGGACTTGAACCGTGTATCTTTGGGCTGGCATGACAACTTACTACTAAGCTGCTAGAGCTAGCTCCAAAATCACAGTATAAACTGGAAAAAGATATATATGTTTATGAAATACTGGCATGAGCAATGACAGGAACTAGCTAGAATGAGCTCTGACCAGCCAAATAGGGGACAATTTGAGAATCAAAATAATAGTATTTAGATATATCCCATTAAAGATCCACATATCCAGAATGATAAATGAAACGGGAGCTTTAAGCCCCAGGAACACCACTCTCATCACCAAGTCCCTGCCCCCCCCCATCCCACCCTACCCCCTCCTGGCCCTGGCCAGCACTCAGGGCATCATAAGCCCAACTTTACCCTCACCCGCTAACCTATTTCTGCACTGAAATAGTTCAAAGATAGCAATGGAGCACAAAGATAGCTCATACAGACCTGCCAAGAACCAATTTGGCACCTCTCCACTATTCTCCATTTTGCAGCATAATGTTGCTAGCTTGAAATTGGCCATGATTGGAGTATTTATGCCACAAAAATTGGCAAACAATACAAATTAGGGCCATTCATTCTTTCATTTATACCTACTCAGAGACTGTTGAAATAGCCTCTTAACAGTTCTACAATATTGCTCAGTCTTCCTCCCAGCTGCCAATCCAATCTGTACACCAATGACAGAATAATCCTAATAAAATGCAAATATGATTTGTTGTGTCTCAATTAGAAACTGTAGAAAACTCTGGTGGCCTGTGGA